CTCAAAAGTATGTGGAAAAAGTGAAAACTGAAAAAAAAAATTATTCACCGGGGGCCACAGAGTCAGATTTTCGGTTTTTACTTGGAACAATGGTCAGATTTGTTAACACTTTCATTTTTTATTTGGATAATGCATGCAAGCGTAGGGACAAGAGTGGCTAGAATAGATTCTGCTACCTTCTCCCTTACCTTGTTGGTAAAAATGTAAGCCTCCACATACATGCATCTCCCCTCCACCTCTCGTGAAATGTCGATTTTCGAGATTAAAAAAAAAACAATAATAGCATTTTTTATTTCAATAACGCATGAGTAAACAGGGATATGAACGCAGATTTAATATAGCCCCATAGAATTACGGGGACCGGCAAGGATTTGGAAAGTCTGAATACAAGTCCTGCTTACACCTAACAAGTGCTGAAATGGGACATAACCAGAGGTAGAAAGGTCTCGGAAGCACTTGGGAAGAGGCTTCCCAAGACCTATCCAGTTCTGAACGGAAAGACCTAGGTAGAACTTGTCAGGTCCAATTATTCGACTCGGGACGGAAGAGAATCAAAATCGTCGTAAATAACGATTACGTAGACGTAATTTACGATCTCGCATTCATAAATTACGCTCAAAGTTACCGTGAATTACGATAATTTTCTTCGTATTTTTGATAAACGTAATTTACGTTTTGATAAATGTAATTTACATTTTGATGAACGTAATTTACGTTTAGGTTTTTCTGTGTTCGGATAATACGGAAAATGTCGAATAAAACGGATGGAGCCGCATAAACTTGTTACAGCACATTTTGTGCGCTCTTCAAGTGCAAGCTAAAAATTAACGGTTGGCCATCGACAATCAATGAACGAACATTGACATGTTGCAACAAAGGAAAAAATCGTAATCGCCATTAAATTTCATTCTACCACCTCAAATACGTAAAAAATGATTAAAATTTTCGGGTTTTTTATTTCTTCCGTGTTATCCGAGTTTTCGCTTATCCGTGGTACCCCTTTCCCACATTACCTCCGATAAACGAGGATGTACTGTATTATAATTTTTCATTCTCCTCTTTCTCCGCGAATTTCGTTGGTTGTCAATTTCTGGAGGAAGAGAGGCAGGATCTTGAGATCTTCGAATGCAAAAGAAAGTTTTCAAAAAAGAAGTACATTTTTTTGGGATTTTAGACACTTGAATTTCAAATATGCACTTTTCTGTAATCTTCGGCATAAAATCAAGCGGAAGAGAATTCATGTAGCGGGATAACGGAAATCGTTTTTTTTAGTTTGAATGTGTTAGAAAAATGAGGCTCGCGAGATTTTGACTTTATTTTTGTTTTGTTTTCAAGGATCAGGAGGATCAGATGGGAATCGAAACTCTACCCTGTGTCAACAAGGTCCATCCTGTGAAATTACTTTATGTGGCATATTATTTGGTAATTACCCCATTTGTTAAAATGGAAGTTCCTAATCTTCAATTTTCTAAGTTTTCTTTCTTGTTTTTTTTTTTAATGAGTGAAGGAAACAAAATGATTGAAAAAAAAAGGAAAATTCATGGCGAGGAATTCCTATAGAAAGTGTCTCATGAAAAAATTGTATAGAAAGATGAAACTCTACGGATTCTTGCGACAGAATACTTTCTATTAAGCATTTTCTATTAAAAAAACGCGCAGTGAACCTGCGAAATTTTTCAGTACAATCAGGGAAAACTGATAGAATTTTCAATAGAAATCTAATCGAGTTTTCCAACGAATTAGTTAGGTTTTCTATACAATTTCCTTGTGCGTGAATTTACCATAATATCAAAATAAAACAATGTGTCTTTAATTTTCATGTTCAGCAATAAAAAAAGTTTATGGAAAGCTCTAGTTCTGTGTCAGAATTAATTATGTCAAGCTACAAAAGACCAAAAGAAATTCCTCCAAAATTCCTCTAATAAGAAAACCTAGGGAAATCCCCGTTTTAAATGGATTTTTCTTCTAAAAAGGGCAGACGCTCATCACAGTCCCGTGATTGATGGTTCCTCCCTAAAGTCTCAGTCCACCCAACTTCCTCCAATTCTACAGATTCCTTCGGTAGAATATTTTTCATTAAACATTTTCTATTAAATAAAAGCGCAGTAAACCTGCAGAATTGTTCAATAGAAATCCAATAGAATTTTCCAACAAATTGATTGTGTTTTCCACAAAAAAATTTCACCCGTAAATTTACGTAGTTTTATACATATTTTGATATTTTATATTTTATATCAAAATAAAAAAACGTATCTTTGATTTTCATCCTCAGCAATAAGAAACTTTTATGGAAAGCTCCAGTTCTGTGTCAGAATTCATTATTTCGAGCTACAAAAGATCAAAAGAATTCCTCAAAAATTTCACTAATAAGAAACGACCTAGGGAAATCCCCGTTTCAAATGGATTTCATCTGAAAAGGGCAGACGCTCATCCCAGTCCCGTGATTGGTCGTTCCCCCCTGGAGCCCCAAGTGTGTGCAATGTGTGTCACCCACATCCCACCGCAATTCGTGTTTTTTTGCTCGTGTTGGTCCATCAATATCATGATTTTGGGGTTATGAACATAATCATCGGCCACCAGACGATGTCAAAGATCTAAAAATACCGGAAGCCAGCCTCGTTCCACCAACCAGTCATAAACAAGGTAAAAATCAGCACTCATTAATCCTCGAATAAAAATTACTCCACCAAGTCTCGTTGGTCTTCTCCTGAAAACCTTCAACTGAATTTCCCTCATCAATTCACTTCTCCATAAACGCAAACCCAAGGTTATTCCGTGGGCGATGAGTAAAACAGGGTGGGTACATTGCAGTGAACAACTTCATTTAGTGCTGCACACAGCCATTCTCACAGTCGTTCTAATTCCAGAAGTATAAACGACAATTCAACAAATATATCAGCAATTACTCAACAATCAGCAAGTGACAAACGGTCTTCCACCCAATAAGTCTTTATTTTTCATCAATAATGCCAGGGTAAGCAGTTTCTATTTTTAGAACTGACACTGATCCTCGTTCATGCATTAAAAATGTGCAATAACATTGCAAAACGAGGTTTTACTCACTGTTTTACGTTCATTTGACGCTGCGCGTTATTCTACTGTTGTCGTTGGATGTTTAGGGAATGTCACTGATTGTGACTTTCAACAGAAGTGACTCTTGTTTTATTGTGTTATCCACCTGTAAACATCTCACACCCACGTGACGCAAAATCATATAGGGAGATAAGTTATCATTCCATATGCGGAGCTTCAAGCCTATCTGCAGCTGTGAAGAGTTGGGTTCTGTTGGGAGATTTTCGGCTTGCTCAGAGTTTTCGTTTTTTCGGGCTGCATTTTATGTTTGACAGTTTTTAGGAGTTCGTTGCGAGATTTAATTGAAAGGGAGCTTTGTTGATTGGAGTTTTTCAGAGTAGAATTGAAAAAAAAAATTCGGTTTTGAGGACATTTGCAGTTTTGCGGTTTGTTACAATAGTTCGTTTTACATTCATTGAGTGAAACATTCATCAATTGGAAATGAATTTTATTTCATTGGATTATAGTGCGGACTTACTGGGGCTATAGCTGATAATAATTATTTTTTTAAAATTATATCATAAATTTAACCAATTTATTTGATGTATTCAGTTATTGCATTTTATGTTTGATGGTTTTTATTAGAAGTGAATTTCAAGTTCGGATTTAATGAAAAATTCGACTAAAATTGTTCGGTGTGGAACTGAGAAAAAATTATAATTCTAAATATGTTGATAAATTTGGTTTTTTAGTAATAGCTACATTCATTGAGTGAAACATACATTAATTCGAAAATAATTTTATTTCATTGGATTATAATGGTGGTTTACTGGGGCTACAGCTGATGATAATTGTTTTTTAATTAGTAAATCATAAATTGAACCAATTTATTTGATGCATTCACTTATTGCATTTTATGTTTGATGGTTTTTATTAGAAGTGAATTTCAAGTTCGGATTTAAAGAACAATTCGACTAAAATTGTTCGGTGTGGAACTGAGAAAAAATTATAATTCTAAATATGTTTATAAATTTGGTTTTTTAGTAATAGCTACATGCATTGAGTGAAACATGCATTAATTCGAAAATAATTTTATTTCATTGGATTATAATGGTGGTTTACTGGGGCTACAGCTGATGATAACAACAATTTTTTTTAAAGCTAAATCGCAAATTGAACTACTTTATTATTTCGCAGAATAATGCAGTAATTTGTGCTGAGCAATGTTTTTGTAATTTTCTAGTGCAACAGTGATTGTTATTCGTAACAAATAAAATAAAAAATTGAATCAATCCACTCGATCAATGAATTGATACAGTGATTGAAAGAAATATTGTCGATAGCTGCACTCGATGATTAATAACTTTTAGAAGAGAATTTAGGGATTGGATTTAAAAAATTTAAAAATTCAATGAATGAGAAGAGACACTGATTTTGTTGGAAGTTATTTGAATAGAACTGAAAAAAATGCAAATGTTGAGATATTTCCTTGTCATTTCGCATTGGAGACTGCGATTTGTAGAAGTGGATTCGGTCCTTCAACTAATTCAGTTGATTAATTAATTCATCGAGTGATTGAAACCCAAAATTAATTCATTAAAATACAATTAATCGTGAAAATGGCAGAGAGTCCATTGAAATTCCCCACATCTCTGTCCCTCCTCTCGCTGGAGAACAGTGGCCTCTACCATCGGAGAATGGCGTCTCGTCGAAATTCGGTTGAAGCAGATAATTCTGCTGAAAGTATTGAGAGGATTGATTACGAGGAGCTTGCGGAGTGGAAGAACCCAGAGGCTCCGAAGCTGCCTGCCAGGAATCCACCATTTTCCCATAATGTTTATAGCGGTCCCGAGGGTTCAGTCGATCGATCTCAGAAGGACAAGACTCGGTAGAATATTTTTAAAATTCAGTAACGAAATGGTAAAATGATTCACGAGGAAACGGAACCCCTGTGTCTGTGTGAACTTTTAGAATCGTGTTTTCTTCTACAATTATTAATTTTGATCTATGAAATTATTAAATTTATTTAAAATTACAAAATTTATTTAAGAAACTACTGCATTGTTGAGTCAATGCAGTAGTTTCTTGAAAAGAAAATGAAAATTGCAGAGGAAACCACAATTCTAAAAGTTCATAAAGACAGCGATTTCGTTTCCGTTTAAGTCGACTTAGCTCTCAGCTGAGTTTTTGAGGAATATCTCCGAATCTAAGGGAGATAGCAAAATTTTCTTAATGACCTTTTTCGCAGCTCTCAATTTGCTTTATAAAAAGGGTTATTATAAAAAATTCGCTATCTGCTGTCGATTCCGAGATATTCATTGAAAACTTACCAATAGTCAAAATCGACTTGAACCGTTTTACCGCTTCGCTACTGAATTGTTATCGAGGGTTTTTGGTAATCAGGGAATTCGGGGCATTTTCAGGATCACGGGGATGTCGCTGGACAATATGTTCTGCTCCAGGTGTCGGGAGGGGTTCGAGGCACATGAGAAAATTGTTAATTCTCATGGGGAATTGTGGCATCCGCAGTGCTTCGTGTGAGTATTTTGTTAGGAATATTATTTTGAAGTATTACTGATGATTTATTTAGTTATTCACTTGGATGGGGTACCCTCTTTAAACATTTGAATGAACGAAATACATGATTAACAAGAAATTGATGAAAAATTCTAGGTTTATTTTCATGAGGCAAATGAAGAGTTCTTGAAATTGTGCATTTTATTTCTATTTTTTTTATTTGAAAAAATCTTTATTCTGTTGCATCAAAATGAGATCAATTCGTTCTATCCCAATTTATTCCCTTTCAATGTAGTGGAACAAAGATGCTTTTCAATTTTTATCAATGATTTATTTATTTATTCACTTTGACGGAGTACAGTCTCAATAGAAAAATTGACAAAAGGCCTTCACATTATTTCGATAAGGCAAGGAAATAGTTTAGTTCTTATTTTACATTTCTTCTTTTCATCTTATAAATCTTGTTAGTTCTTTAATTCGTTTTGCCCTATATATTTTTCCAGATTTCTATTAATTTTCATAAAGTAATTGGACTGAAATTTCCAGCTTTCATCGATTTTTCCTTAAAATTTTGCTTTTTCAACGACGAAAATCCTTGAAAATTCAGTAGAACTATACCCTAAAAAATCAAAAAATTTCCATGCATTTTAAACAAAAATTATTAAGTCCAATTGATCCCGTTTTATCATTCATTTTTAATTAAGTCAGTAAATTTAAAAAAATTTAAGATGCGCCCAGTGCTTCCGTCCATTTCCCGAGGGGATTTTCTACGAGTTCGAGGGTAGAAAATACTGTGAAAATGACTTTCAGGTCTTGTTTGCGCCCTGCTGTGGTCGATGTGGTAAATTAAACCTTCCTAAATGAATTGTAATTTCTAAAAGTTGGATTATTTCAATGATGAAGCTCTCTGATACCCAGGAGAATTTGTCATTGGCCGAGTCATAAAGGCGATGAATGCAAACTGGCATCCAGGATGTTTCCGCTGCGAGGAATGTGACTTTGAACTCGCTGATGCTGGATTTATAAAGTGCCAAGGGAGAGCTCTCTGTCACACTTGCAATGCTCGAGTCAAGGCTGGAGCACTTGGGAAACATATTTGTCATCAGTGCCAGTACGTTTCAGAAAATCAACTGGGAAAACCAGTCTTTATCCATTCAATTCTTCAATTACGAAATTCCTCACAGTAAGAAAAATTTTCTAGGAAAAGATTTTCAGAAAAATTATGATGTCCCCAATAATTTTTCCAGTAACGAACAATAATTTTTCTGGCGCCACACAATCATTTTTCCAAGTGTGCAAGTTGTGACTCATTTATGGTGCTAGTATACGAATTTTTCTAGAAAATTTTTCTCAGTAAGAAATCACCTCATTTTGGCGATAATTATAGTACTTACCCCTTACGTACGTGATCGATACATGGTATCGACCCATGCGAATGTGAAATTTGTGCTGCTTTTCAAAATTTATTATTTCCAAATCTATGAAGAATAACTGGACCAGACAAACTAAATTGGAAATCGGAATACTGTAGCTTCAATTAGATACCGGTTTCATAATTTTCCATTCATTAGAAATAATCGAATTTGAGTTGTATTGAGCACACACTACGCTTGGTAACAGAAAGGCCCCGTCCGTGAGGGATTAACAAAGCTACATTATTATATTACCATAATCACGAATTTTTAAATTACAGTGGAGTCATTGATGACAAGCCACTTCGATTCCGAGGGGAAGTCTATCATCCCTATCACTTCAATTGTACTGCCTGCCAGGTGGAACTCAATTCTGACGCTAGGGAAGTCCGGTCAAGACCTGGTTATGCTGCCAATGAAATGGTAACTGTTGATTTCTGCATGACATTATGATTATCTCAAATAAAAAATTATCATCGACAAAATATTGTATGAAAAACCTTCATGTCGACGTTTTTTTTCATCTTTCATCATCTGAAATTGTCAATTAAGGATAAAAAAAAAGTAGAAAAAATTCTCAATTTTTTCAAAGAGCCTTTTGAATTTATATTCAGAATAAGTTGAATAACAAGAAATTGAAAAATGTATCTGATTTACGGTGACAAATGGCGGCCTGCCACCCAATATCATGCAGGGGGAAGACTGATCTCGTAAATCTTTTCCCACACGTCACGTCGAAGTATCACGTGATGAATATCATAATTTTAAAAATATTACTTATGGTATTTTAGAATGAATTGTACTGCCTTCGTTGCCATGACAAAATGGGAATTCCCATCTGTGGAGCTTGTCGACGTCCAATCGAAGAGAGAGTAGTGACTGCCCTGGGGAAACACTGGCACGTCGAGCATTTCGTCTGTGCCAAGTGTGAAAAGCCGTTCTTGGGACATCGTCACTACGAGAAGAAGGGTTTAGCTTACTGTGAGACTCATTATCACCAGTTATTTGGAAATCTCTGCTTCGTTTGCAATCAAGTTATTGCTGGAGATGGTAAATTTCAGTACTCAGATTTTTAATATTTATTTTGATCAATAACTCTCAACATAATTTGTTATTCAACATGAAAAGAACTCTTCATGGAACAATATCTGGAGAAAAATGCAATTTCAATCATTCATTTTTATCATTTACTGGAAATACTTCTCATATTCTGCTGTTTTCAACATAAAAATGTGGTTGCAGAAAGGAAGGTCTACAGAAATTATTGTTTAAATTTTTTCAATGCCAAAAAATGTTATTCTGCTGCACTTTTCACTTGAACATTTCTCCTCAATTTTTTTTTTAGTTTTTACTGCTCTCAACAAAGCCTGGTGCGTCCACCACTTCGCCTGTGCGTTTTGCGACCAAAAGATGAACCAGAAGACGAAATTCTTTGAGTTTGATCTGCGTCCAGCCTGCAAAAAGTGCTACGACAAATTTCCCCAGGAGTTGAAGAAACGCATGCGTCGTATGTACGACCTCAACCCCAAGAGAATACCCGCATAAGTAATCTCATCTTGCCAAGGGGGCTACACTCACAGTGTCTCGATTCTCATAATCTTAATACTTGTAACCAAAGTAACTCTGTGTATTTTATCGACAATTTTTTAACATTCTTTTTTCTTTTTTTGTATCGACCTTTCGGAGTTGATGCAATGCCTTCCATTTTTAGAAACTTGATGATTTTACGTGCCTTGAGAAGCAAGTTTTTATGACAATTTGAATAATCCTTATTTACAAGATTAAATAAAAAACTTATATTTTAAAGAATTCCATTTGTTGTCATTTTTGTTTATTTTAAGAGGGAGTTGGGGAATCTAATGGAGTTGGAAGATGATGACAGTGATGTTAATAAATTGAGAGTTCTGGAAGGATATTGATTATGCCCTAAATATATTCTTTTCCTGAAATCCACTTCAGTACAAAAACAGAACAGGGTAAATTAATCTCAAATGAAAATCTCCATTGGATTTCTGTTCAATTCGATTTTCCTACACAACTTATTCTATTGGGATATTTTTTATAGAAATCTCTTGGCTCAAATTCTCAATCATAATAAATTAAGAGTTGTTGAGACATATCAATTATGCCCTAGATATATTCTCTTCCTGAATTCTGCTTCAGTACAAAAACAGAATAGGATAAACTAATCTCAAATGAAAACACCATTGAGTTTCTGTTGAACTTTCTGTTAATCTTCTTCTTCGAAGAAATAAGATATGGGATGATAATAAGATTCTGAGAACACAATGTGCTACGAAAAATATTCTACAGAAAAAAAATCAATAGAATTCGGTTTTTCTATACAACTTATTCTATACATATTTTTCATCGTTTTAATAAGTTTTATGTTTGATTTCTTTTAATGAAAAGAGAAAAAATAGAGTGGAAAAAAACTTGGGGAATTCATGTCGAAAAATTTCAATAGAAAGTGTCTTAATTGAAAAAGCTGTATAGAAAGGTCAAATTGTACTGAAAAAATGTACCGTAGAGCTGCAGAGTTCTTCATCAAAAGAAGTTCAATACAATCTTTTGTCAAATTGACTAGATTTTTCAATGAATTTTTTGTCGTGCGTGAATATCTCAAGATCTAAGAGCAATACTGAAATTTTCGAAAAAACCTTCATTACAGCTTTCATTCCCCTCCACAAAAAAGTTGCTCACAAAAATTTTGTGTCTCCCTTGCATCCGCAGATATCCACCAAAATCATCCCGAAGTTCCCCGGTCGTTTCAACTCTTCACAGCCGATTTAATAACAATTCAATCCGCTTTCATGCGTATAGTTTCCCCGATGATCGTTAGCGTCTCACTCCAGATAAAGTGGGGCAAAGAGGTAGGTCATTTTTCGAGATAACAGACGGAGCCGACGGACTAAAGCCAAGAAACTGCTATCAGTATGCGTCAGTAACTCCCCAGCAATGGTGTACTCGACCCTGTCGTTTTTTCGTGATCATGACATCGATGAAAAAAATCCATGTCACTGAACTAATAAAGTGTTTCATCAGTCATTGGTGCCACGAAATTCTCAGGGAATTAATACATTTTATCTGATAACCAGTCCACTGATATCTTACTGGAGTGGTCTGATAACGTATCGAAACCTCGACGACGAAAGATCGGGAAGGAGTTTCAGGCGAATAAATTATAGATAGAATTTTTTTTGGGGGCAATGTCGGGGTCTCGTGGGTACACTCTGGTTGATGGATCTGCCAGCACCAGGTAATTCAAGGAACACGTATGACTAAATTCTATAGTTAACCGGGCCAGGTGGATAGAAAATTCTATTGGATTTTTGGGGAAATTCTTATTATTTTTTAATTGATTTTATTTATTTATTGAAGCATTGAACCTTTTTAAAAGTTCAATTTTTTGGTTGATTCTGTTTAAAAATTCCACAAGTTATCTACCTATTTTTTTTCAATCAAAATCTTCAATGGAAAACATTCCATATAAAAAATCAGTAGAATTTAATTTTTTTATATAAGTGATTTTATTATTATTATTATTATTATTATTATTATTATTATTATTATTATCATATACTGTTCAATAGAAAACATTGTATACAAAAAACCAATAGAATTTGATTTTTCTATATAATGTATTCTATTAAGATATTTTTTATGGAAATATCTGGCCTCAATTTTTTCAAGTTTTTTCGTTATATTCTTCTGAAAAAAGAGAAAAATAAAGTGAACAAAACTTGGAAAATTGATGTCGAGAAATTCTCAGTAGAAAAAATTGTACGGAAAAATGCAATTAATTTTTTCTTATTTTTTCTTTATTTCCCGGTGAAGTATGGAGTCTGGGAGCCAGGGAAAATTGCTATCGAGGGGCACAATTGATAAATACAGCTCGACTTATGTACCTCATGATCGATTGTCTAGGTATACTACAGCAATTTCAAATTTAATTCCTGTGAGATTTAGAAGGTAATGATTTTACCCACGAAGTTATTTCGAGAATAAGGGGTTTAAAAGGAAAATGTCAGAAGAAATGTGTTAATTGATGGGATAATTGCATGGATGCGTTCATGAAAGAAATCAGTAGTAGAATAATAACATCTTCATTAGCTATGTTCAGAAATATTTTAGTAGTTGACAACATTTTTTCGAAAAGGTCTTATATGTCTTCTTAAAATGGCTAATTAACGACATAATTAAATTAAGAATATTAATAACCTCTTTGTTAATTATATTTATTATTATGTCAAAGGAATTTCTCCACAGCTAAAAAAATTTCCCATAAACATGTCATCTGAATTGAACTTCCATCAGAGTTCCAGGTTCAGAAATTCCTGTAGACAAAATCGGACTCTTCTCGAGTGTATCCTTCAACTGGCTGAACGAATATGTGTCCGCAGGATATAAAAAGAGAATAGGCGAGAAGCCGCTGCCCACCGTATCTCTGCAAGAGTCCTGTCAAATTAATGGACCAAGGTGCCTGAATAAAATCATTAGAAACTGAACTAAAATCGCGAATCCCTAATCATCAATCGAAATCGTTAATTCATAGAATAGATTCTCTGTGGCATAATGACATTGTCAAGAGAGGACAGTCAGGGGCCTCAGTCCCCAGCATCGCCTGGCAGTTTGTGAAGACTCGAGTGCTCGTTTCATCCCTAATCCACCTCCTGGGGATGATCATCGCTCTCTGCAGTCCTGTAAGCGAAATTATGTCTCTGGAGATGGGAGAAAATATTTTTTCATCATTCTGGCCGTAAGGCATTCGACATACGGCCTAAAAAAATTTTTCTAGCACATATGATTGCAACCCTCGCCTTCGGCTCGGGCTGCAGACTCATATTCGCCAGAAAAGTTTTTTTCGGCCTAATGAGCAAACACAGGGGAGAGTGGGGTAAAATGGACACTTTAGACTTTTGTTTCAATTACTCATAACTAACTTCGTAGATCCTGGTGCTCCAGAGGATAATATACTCCACGGAGGATCGTCTCCAAGTATTCCCAGACCCCGCGCCCCCTAAAAACTCCTCATCCCTCCCTCCCGCCGCCCCCTCAACCCTCAACACAACGAGATCAATCGAAATCTCGGAGGACTTTGAGCGCATAATTCTCATGGACAACGTCATCATCTCCACCCACGTGGTCCTCCTCATCTCCGTCGAGACGATCTCTTACTTTTTAATCGCGTGGAGTGCGGCGATGAACCTCAGGACAGCAACGAGACTGCGATCTGCTTGCTTGGCACTAGCTTACAGGAAACTCCTGAGATCTTCGGTGAGATACGCAGCTCCGGTGCACCAGACCCTGACGTACTTCGTCCCCGACAGCAACACCCTCTTCGAACTGATCAGCAATGGTCCCCTGATCTTCTCAGGGCCACTGATCCTCCTCCTGTCGTCGCTATTCATCTGGCATTCTATGGGGCACTGGGCCCTCATCGGCATCGCTGTCCTCGTCGTCTTGTACTTCGGACTCATCCTGAGTGCCTACTTGACGAAGGTATTCGCCACGAGAGCCATGAAGTTCTCCCTGCGGCGGATCAGTTTGCTGCAGGAGTTCATCGAGAAAATTTGCATCGCAAAAATCGGAAAGTATGACAAACGATTTGCATCGGGAATTCGAACGATCAGGGAGATGGAGCTCAAGGAGATGAAGCTGGGGGCCCTGAGCGAGGGCTGGAGCCTCTGCATGGTGCATGTGATACCTATTGTCACTGTCAGCGCTATGACCATGGCGTATTTGATCAATCATAATTACGTTGTTTCGGCGAATGTAAGGTTCTTTCGGTTCATTTGCTTCTGATTATTTTTCTCACTCGGATTTCAGCCAATCAGAGCGCAGTATTTGAGACTGTCAAACAGCTTTATTCCGGAAATTTCTAAAAAATTGCCGACGGAAATTCACCAGTAGCTTCTCAAATGTTTCTCATCTTTCAACGCATTTCACGTTTAATATTCTGCGTGACAGATAAACAAAAAAGTGGGTTGTAAATGTATGGCTGTGTAAATGTATCCGGATGCTGTTCACTGCACTCTGCTTGGCCGAAATCCGAGTGGAAAAATAGTCCGTCAATAACACGCGTGCTTCAAAATTAATCAGATATTTTCCTCAAGCTTCCCTGCCTAGGAACGAAGCTATCGGAAAATATCCGATAATTTTGAAGCCCTAGTGGTATTACTACTGATAATTTCAGGAGAGATGAGAAAAGATTTCATAGAAAATCGAATGTTCTGTTAGTTGGTAGCTAAGTCTATTGAAGAATTCCATTGCTCATCTGCGTATTTTTTTATAGAAATGTTCAATGGAAAATATTCTATGGAAGAAGATCAATAGAATTTTCTTTTTCTATACAACTTATTCTGTGGAAATATTTTCAATGGAAATTTCTCGGCTCAAATTTTTCCAGTTTTTTGGGTGATTTTTTTAATTAAGAAAGATAAAGGGGGAGGGGAACAGATTAGAAAATTCATGTCGAGGAATTTCTACAGAAAATATCACCACGTATTAGCTGAAAAATTCTATCGAATTTTTTATTAGTTTTCGGCCGATTTTAGTGAAGAATTTGACAGCTCATCGGCGCGTTTTTTTATAGAAACATAAAATATTGAATGACAATATTCTATAGAAAATATTCTACAGTAAAAACCAATAGAATTTGATTTTTTTGTGCAACTTATTCTGTTGAGATATTTTCTATAGAAATTCCTCGGCTCAAATTTTTCAAGTTTGCTGCTTTATTTTTTTAATGAAGAGAGAAGAAAATGGAGGGACACCAACTTCGAACATTCATTTCGAGGAATTCCTATAGAAAATGTCTTATTAGAAAAAGCAGTATTAACTGATTCAACTGACTCAGTTGACAGCTGAGTCAACATTTCAGTAGAATCGGCCAAAAGTTAATAGAAATTTCAATAAAAATCCATCAGAATTTTCTAAAGAATTTGCCAGGTCTTCCTATTGAAATTTTCACTCGTGATTTCCTCTAAAAATGAATTAATCGCCCTCCAAATCCTTCGTTGACAGCTGAGTTAGGTTCAACTGATTTTTTCTATAAAATAGTTTTCATTGGAAATTTTCTATAAAAAAAGGTGCAGTAAAACTACGGAACTCTTCAATAGAATCGACCAAAAACTAATAGAATTTTCAATAGAAGTTCAACAGTAATCCAATCGAATTTTCTATCTAATTCGCTAAGTTTTACTATGAAATTGTAGTAGTTTTTTGCTTCCGAATGGAAGCTTTGTAATCGTTCCAATTTAAGTTTTGGATTTTTTGTGTCATATCACTCCACTATGCCTCAAAAGTGATATAAAAGAAACGATCACGCAAGAAAAAAATTAGTAGAAAAACTTAGTGAATTCGTCAGAAATTTCTACTGCATTTATATTAGTGTTTGGCCGATTCTATTGAAATGTTGAATAGAAAATACTCAACAGAAAAAGTCAATAGTCAATAGTTTTTTCGCTTGATTTTCTCATCAAGAAAATCAATCAAAAAGACTTAAAAAATTTGAGTCGAGGAAATTCTATAGAAAATATCTCAATAGAATAAGTTGTATAGAAAAATCGACTTCTATTGACTTTTTCTATTAAATATTTTCCATTCAACATTTCAGTAGAATCGGTCAAAAGTTAATAGAAATTTCCATAAAAATCCATCAGAATTTTCTAACAAATTCTCCCTATTAAAATTTTCACCCGTGATTTCCTCCAAAAACGAATTAATCGCCCTCCAAATCCTTCGATAAAAACCAAACGTCTCTTTCAGTACATTCCATGTCTCGTCCTCATCCTCCTGAACCTGAAGCACTGCGTGAGAAGTAGTTGGCTCGCGATGAGCAGTATCTCAAGAGGCGTGGCTTCTCTAAATAAACTCAAAGTGAGTAATCCATAAAAAAACATAAATTCCCGATCAATTCCATTGTCTCAATCTCCAGGCAATCTTGATCTTGAAAGATACGAATCGTTTCACGGACAAGCCCATCGATAGGAACCTCGCGATCGCGATAAACGGAGGTACCTTCACCTGGTCCCAAGATAACTCCCCCGTTGACCGGATAATCCGAAGTTCCTCGCAATTTATTCTGGACGAGACGCCCACGCAGATGACGAATCTGTCCCCCTCCCACACCCTGTTGGAGGTGAATTTTTACGCGCCGAAGGGGCGACTGATCGGCGTCTGCGGCTCCTCCAAGAGTGGAAAGAGTTCTCTTCTCCAGGCGATTATGGGACAGTTGCATCATGCTGGTGGACATGTAGCCATCGACGGGAGTTGCTCGTATGTCCCAGAAGAGGCTGGCCTCTTCGAGGGAACTCTCAAGGAGAATATCATCCTCGGGGAGGCCTTCGACGCCTCCTGGTACTACAAGACCATTCAAGCCTGCCGGCTGAACGAAGACCTCAACTCACTACCGGGGAGTGACGACACTGACGTCTCGACTGTGGAGTTGACCAACTGCCAGAGGCAGAAGATCGCACTCGCCAGGGCGGTTTACAATAATAGGGATATTAATTTGTTGGATAATCCTCTGGGGGATGTTGAGAGACCGGAGGGGACTGAGATCTTCGAGAAAGCCATTGTCCAGCTGCTGGGGGAGAAGTGTGTGATTCTAGTCTCGGATAAGATCCAAGTAGGTTGAACTGATTGGATGAAGCCTTGGTGATGACTGATTTGGTTAGATTAGATTAGAGGCAATTTATTATTTCCTTGGGATATACACGGGTCCCCTGGGGGAAAAAATAACAATTATTGTAAATGATTCTTATGAATTATTTACATTACTACAATTTTGTTTGGTTTTAATTTAAATATTCATTATTGTTTGTTTTATTTTTATTTTTTCATATATGTAACAGTCCCATAGCTGTCGCACGTATGAAAAAATCGTATAGAAATTTTCTATACGGATTGCGTATAGATATTCGGATATTTCTATACGGATATTACTCATACAAATTATTTCTATACTATGAGAATCAATTCTCATTTCTATGGGTTTAATCCTATTCGTATGGAGTTGGAGCCTAGACAGCTCTCGTATGAAAACAAAAATCTATGTATAGAAATCATTCGTATAGGAAATATTCGTATAGAAATATCCGAATGTCATATACGGAAATCCTATAGAATTTCTATACGCAATCCGTATAGAAAATTTCTGCACGATTTTTTCATACGTGAAGGGGCACTTGAGGAAAAACTAAAAATAACATAATTTTTGGAAATGAATCTTATGAATTATTTACATTATTATAATTTTGTTTGTTCTTAATTTAAATATTCATTATTGTTTGTTTTATATTTATTTTGTTCATGTATATAACAGTCCCATAGCTGTCATCGCATATCTTCATCATAATTTCCATTAACAATCTCGTAGGGCAAGACGATTGAAAAATCGAAAAAGATCCAATTTAGTTGGAAATACAAGTCATTCAGGCACACTATTCGAGCACGTTTAGACTAATAAACCGCTTCGACAGTCTTGAATCAAATTTTGTTCTTTACGAATGAAATTTTATTTTTTACGAGACGTTGGGTTTGGAGGAAATGTAATAGAATTTTTGGGAATAAACGAATTTCGCTCCGCGAAATTGGGATTACTATTGGGAATAAAGGAATATTCGCTCCGCGTGCGCAAAATTCTACTTTTCATATATTGTGATGAAATATAGGGTCCGACACTCGTGAGAAAAGTGTTCTTCGACCCTTGGGAGAGGGTCAAACAGCGCGTTCATGCAGTCGTACCAAAATATACTACTTGTCACTTCAGCCTAGTGATGAAATATAATTTACATTGTTGGAAACTTTTGTACTCCTCTTGAAAATTTTTATTAAGTCACAATTCGACTTGAATTTCCAGAACAAATCCTTGAAATTTCAATTTTTTTTCATCAATTTCATCATTTTTAGTGATGTAGAATAATGAAAGCGGCAAATTTCTTGTCAATTATTTCACGAGAATTAAGTTCTTCAGGAGAATTCCAGTAACTAATTCTTGAATTTTCAATAAATTAAAAATTCAACATAAATTTGGAATTTCACGGAAATTTTATGAATTTTCCATTTTTTTCTACATTGGAAATAATAAGAAGGCGTGTGTCAATAGAAAAAATAGAGGAGCTCATTAATTTGAAGTCTGACCAAAAAATCTCTCTTTCACTCATTCAACATTCCATTTCATTCATTTCTTCCCTTCTCCCAAAAATTTTGCAGCAATATTCTTCGATTATATTTCCAACATCCAGTGGTTTCTTAAATATTTATGCAGAAATCTGCAAATGCAACATAATTTAATTACCTCGCAAATTTTTTCAGAGCTAGTATTCTTCACTAAAAAAATATCTCTTGATCGTTTCCTCTGAACTCATCCCTCTCAAAGACATTTACGAAATAATTCAGCAAGTAATTCCGACTCATCGCGCCCATCCTTTTAGTTTTTAAACAGATGTGATACAATTTACGTAATGAAAGAAGGAAAAATAGTTGAGCAAGGGAGCCACGACGAGCTCCTCCAGTGGAACAGTGAGTACACTGATCTGATCAAGACCTTTGGCAGAAGACAAGAGGGAACTATCAACAAAGACGCCGCTGAGTCCGTCAGGGGGAAGCATTTATCCAATGGACCTAGTATTTCTGATAGTATTCTTGACATCTCGACTCAGGTAGAAAGGGATTCCGACGAGGAGGGAGGGACGAGGATGGATCGACTGAAATCGGAGCTGAAGTACAAGGCTTACATCAACGGGAACAGGGGATGGTGGCATGGCGCAATCGTCTGCACTCTCTCGTTACTTTATTCCATCCCCATCGCTGCTGCTCCCCTAGTTTTTACTTACATTGCCCAGGTAATAAACAGGTCACGGTCGAAAAAATTTAACAAAAAACCCTATCGAATTCGTTAGAATATTCTATTGAATTTCTATTGAACTGTTCTATTAGTTTTTGGCCAATTCTATTGAAATGTTCAATAGAAAATATTCAGTAGAAAAAGTCAATAGAATTCAATTTTTTTATATAAATTAATTCTATTGAGATATTTTCTATAGAATTTCGTCGGCTCAAATTTTCCAAGTTTTTTCGTTTGATTTTCTTGATGAGAAGAAAAGAAAAATAGAAGGAAGAAATCTTAGAAAATTTGAGTCGAGCAAATCCTATAGAAAATATATGAAAAGAATAAGTTATACAGAAAAATCTAATTCTGTTGACTTTTTCTATTGAATGTTTTCTATTCAACATGTCAATAGAATCAGCCAAAAACTAATAGGAAGTCTAATAGAAATTCAATAGAATTTTCCAACGAATTCGATTGGTTTTTCTATTAATTTTTTTCGTGCGTGGTGATGAAGGGATTTTTTTTTGTGATTTGTTTTTCGTCTGTTGTTGTTTTTAGAGAGAAATAACAACGGAAAAAAGAGAATCTATTCGAAAGCAGATTGCTATTTTGTTAGCAAGAATTTCTATACTCATTTATAAAAAAGTAATTGTCCATTTGTTTTTTGCAGAAAATGTTGACCAACACCACAATGATCGCAGTGATCCTCGCATTTATGGTCGGATTCATAATTTTCTGGGGCTTAATTCTAATGATTATTTATAATGAGGTAATGATGGATATTGATTATGTATTTTCGATGAGAATTAGTGGTTAAAAGAACAACTAGCGTTCTTTCTGAGAGATTTTATTGAATTTCTATTAGATTTCTATTAGAATTTCATACGAATTTTTATGGAAACTCTATTTGTTTTTTCGACAATGTCTGGAAAAAAGATATGCAATTTTTCTGGGATTTTTTTAACAGATATTTTTTAATAGAAAAAATTATGTTGATTATTTTGTATAATTTATTCTGTTATGAATTTTTCTATTTTTTTTATTTTGTAATGACAAAAAAATACAGTGAGAAAACCTTGGATTTACGCTCATGAATTCCTATTCCTATTTTTGTTTATTCATAATTCACATGGAAAAATCAGTTTATCAAATCTTTCACATAAAATACTCATTGGAAAATAAAATAGAATTTTTTGAAGAAAGCGATTTTTTTATTAATTTTTTTTTTGAAGCTGCAAAAACTCTTCTAAAATCACTCATCACATGAAATTCCATAAATCCATAAACCATAAATCTGACACATCTGAATTGATGTTAGAATTGAAGGAAATATTGATTCCAGGATGTGTTCACTTCAGCCAGGAATATCCACGAGCTCTGGCTCCAGAAGATCAACAAAGCGCAGATCTCCGTTTTCTCCACAGCCTCCTCAATAATCCTCCTGAACATTTTTAGTTTGAATCTTCAGGAGGTCGATTACATGCTACCGAGACTGAAAATAACAGCACTAACGCACGTTGGGATTAGTTTCTTCAGTATAATCATTCTTGGGATTCTTTCCCCCTGGTTACTGCTGCCTGCGATAATCTTCATGTCTGCTATGTTTGCGTATAATTTTTACGTTAGGTAAGAGACTAGACGAGAATGAGAAACAATAAAAATACTAAAATGGAAATAAAAATACAGTGGAAAAAACTTGGAAAATTGACGCCCAAAAATTTCTGCAGAAAAATTCATTTTGTTTATTTGTAAATTTATTTAATACTTTGATATTTTTATTAAAATTTCTATTGACTTTTTTGTATGAAATATTTTTTAACAAAATGACGTGGTAAAGTTGCATAATCTTCAATAGAATAAATAGAATTCTAGTAAAAATTCGATAGAATTTCTCAGAGGAAGTTCTAGGTTTTTAAATAATTAATAATTCAATAAATTGATGATTAATAATTAACAATTCAATAGTGAAGTGGTAAAGCGGTTTAAGTCGACTTATCTCCCACTTGAGTTTTTCATGAATACTTCTGAATCTAAGAGAGATAGCGAAATTTTCATAATTACATTTGTTGTAGCTCTCAATCGGGTCTACAAAAAAGGTTATAACAAAAATTTTGCTATCTTTCTTAGATTCCGAGATATTCATTGAAAACTGGCCAATAGCCAAAGTTGACTTGTACCGTTTTACCACTTCGCTACTGAATTAATTTTTGATTATTTATTACAGAGGACTTCTTCTGGCCCTCTACGAACTAAAAATCCACTCAGTAACTCCAATATACACCCACACGATCAACACAGTGCGCGAGAGAGCTGTGATCCAGGCATACCGAAAAGAGAGAGAATTTTCGAAAAAGTTCTACAAGCACTGCAACGCCAATTTGGCTTATGACTTTCTGCTGGACGCCCTGAAGCTCTGGGTGGAGTTCAGGATAAAATTCCTCTCCGCCCTCACCCTGGCCATCATCATGATCATCTGCGCCTCACTGAGTGCGATCAAGGTTCGGTACGAGGTCCTGGGATTGGCTTTCATCTGCACTCTTCAACTCACCCAGAGTGTTATTCACTTGACTGGGGCTGTGATGAGTGGCAATGGGAGTCTTCTGACTATTGGAGTTGTTGACAAGTACATTATGGTAAGAAATGGAGAATGTGAACTCAGATAAGTTTCAGTTTCGTCAGAAAATTGAAAGACTGATGATTACGTGAATATTTCGAGTGGAAACGAATGGAAACTATTCTATAGAGGAAAAAAATTTCTGTGCAATTTATTCTATTGAGGTATTTTCTATAGAAATTCCTGAGTTCGTATAATAACTTAGAAAATTCATGTCAAGGAATTCCTATAGAAAATGTTTCAACGGAAAATATTGTATAGAAATATGAAATTCTACTGATTTCGTCTCTAAATGAGTTTCGTAAAATAAAGTAAAATAAAGTTGCGGAATTCTTTAGCAGAAATGTTCAATGGGAAATATTCTACAGAAAAAAATCAAAAAATCACTAGAATTCGATTTTTCTATATAATTCAGTAGTGAAGTGGTATACCGGTTTAAGTCGACTTATCTCCGAATTGAGTTTTTGAGGAATATTTCCAAATATAACGAAGATAACAAAATTTTCGTAATTACATTTGTTGTAGCTCTCAATCGGCTGTACAAAAACGGTTGTAACAAAAATTTTGCTATCTCCCTTAGATTCCGAGATATTTATTGAAAACTGGTCAATAGTTAAAATTGACTTATACCGTTCTACCACTTCGCTACTGAATTTATTCTATTGAGATATTTCCAGCAGAAATTCCTCCGACCAAATATTTTCAGTTTTTTTGTCTGATTTTTTAAATGAATAATCTCTTTAGAAATTTCCGAGTTAGTGAAATAATTTTGAAAATTAATGCCGAGAAATTACTATAGAAAATAACAAAAAAAGTTGTATAGAAAGATGAAATTCTGCTGATTCCACTTTCTATTTAAAAAAACGCGTTGAAAACTTGTGGAATTCTTTAAGAGAAATGATCAATGGGAAATATTCTATAGAGAAAGTCAACACAATTTGATTTTTCTATGCAACTTACTCTATTGAGATATTTTCTATCGCAATTTCTGAGCCCAAATTTTCTAAGTGTTTTTGTTTAATTTTTTAAATGAATAATCCCCTTTCTTCTAATTTCTGAGTCATTATAATGATTTAGAAAATTCACGTCGAGGAATTCCTCTAGAAAATGTTTCAATAGAAACTAAACTCAACTAATTAAACTAATAGAATTTTCAATAGAAGTCCAAAATATTTTTGTCCAGTCATCTTAGTATTCACATTTCGAAATTTTGTTCTTATCATCAAATAAATAATCTCCAATGAGAGAAAAGATTCAACCAATGAAGCAGGAAAAATAGTTTCTAATGCACAATTTCCTGCCAGAATATTCCCCAAGAGAAGACGGAAGGCGATAACATCCGGAAGCAGTGGCCAGCGGTTCCCGACATACACTTCCAGGACGTCCTCCTGAGTACCAACTCCCCGATAGACCAAGAGCCCCTGAATTTTTCAATCTACGCCGGAGAAAAAGTCGCATTCCGAGGACTCGACCCCGAGTTGCAGCGAGATCTGGTCAAGTGTTTGCTCCAGATCAACGAAGTCTTCGCGGGGAACATCATCATCGGTTCCCTGAAGATCTTCGACATCAGCATCGAGGTCCTGCGAGATCACGTTGATTACATTCCCAAAGTTCCAGTTCTGTTCGATGGAACTGTGCGGTACAACGTGGACCCCAATCGTCGCAACAGCGAGAAGACTGTTGTGAAAACTCTCCAGAAGATGCTCTTGTGGGAGAAAATAGTGAAGCTAGACGAACGACTGGACAATGACACTAGCAACATCTTCAGTCTTGTGGAGAAGAAACTTCTTTTGTTGGCGAGGATTTACTTGAAATCAGTGGCTTTTAGTAAACATGTGAGTCTCAAGTTATTTGAAAAATATTTTCATTAATTAATTTATTTAGTTAAGGCCCGGGTGAACTATCTTTCGAACGTTATCTCGATTGTTTCTCCATCTTCATAATGTAAAATATATCACAATTTTTTTTTATCGCAAATTTGGGATATTTTGGGATAATTTCTATGAAATTTTGTCATTTCTGACGGTTTCGTCTCGCACTCTCCAAGAATTATCTTAACTTTGTGAAATTAAATAAATATAGACATGAAACCACCATCAATTATTGAAAAATATAATTTATTCATTCACAATTTAATAACTCTTCCAGATAATAATCATCGAGGAATTGGATCAGGATGCTGAAATACTGGATGGCCTCTTCCAGGATGTCCTGAAGCAATTCACTGTTATCGTGCTCTCTAGTAAATCCAGCTGGAACGCTCAACGTGTGATAAGGCTCAATGACCACAAAGTAAATGAATTAATAACAAAGATTTAAATAATAAAACAGAAGAGTTTTCCGAAAAATCGCCAAGACTAAAAGTGAATAAATTCTTTTCCAGACGATAAAAACGGCGACGACATCACCATCATCCCCAGCTGCCTCCACTTTATTATCAGTACCAAAAAATATTGAGACAAGTTTCTAGCTCCACCTCATAAATATACAATTACAACAAATGATGAACTTCTCATCAATTCCTAATCCCCCTGAGTCCCTTAATTGCACCAGATACTGGAATGTACAGTCCCCTCACCTCGCAGCCCGCCATCATACTTGCTTCACCTCCCCACTGCAGTGAGGGCAGCAGGCCATGGCCTCAGGTCCCTTCGTCATGAACATCTGCCCCCCAACAGCGACAGCAGCCCCCATCACCGCACTGCAAGCGACGTCAGGCCTCGTCATCATCAAATTGGGATTCATCAGCAGTTGCTCAGCCTTCTTCTCCCCAGCAGTCGTCATCTCCAGTCCAGTGATCCTCACCTCCTTCCTCATCTTGCTATTATCAACTCCACTCAGCAACTGCACCTTGAGGATCTCTGCGACCTGACAGCACCCATCGGCGAGATCAATTATATTCGAGCTGGGAAGCTCGTGCCTCTTGAACGACATTATCCCCACAGGATCGAAATTCTCTCTTAGAACACAAAGTGTCTTGTAAGTCTTCAATGAGGTCTCCCTCACTCTGCTTCGCTCCTCGAGAAGCCTCTTGATACTCTCCTGCAAATCCGTCGTTCTTTGGCACAAACCAGCCTTCCACCTGAATAAGAAAGACGAAATTTCAGTAATTGTTAGTATAAAATAACTTCTATCGTAAATTTAATCATAGTGATAATGAAGACAATTCACCTATTCTATTTATTTAGGGTGTTTTCCACCCTAATATCTCATATTTCAAAATTTTTTATTGATATTTCCGGGGCAATTTATACAAATTTTTATCAATTGAGAGTTCCACTGAAATTCAAGGAATTCCGTCGTTAAAAATTCATAATTTTATGAAAAAAACAAGAAACACTGGGTGAACATATTATTGAATTTGCGATTAATTCAAAATTCAAGTGTTTGGGTACTGAATATTCATATGAAAAAAATATTGACTGAAAATTGGAGCAAGTTATAGAATTCTCGTTCTTCTGCTGCTCAAAAATTTTTAATTTCTCGGAATTTTCTGTGAAATGAGGCATGAAAGAAATTAATAGCAGTATGTAGGACTTTCTCTAACAAGTTCTTTATAATAGAGTTCTATTAGAATTCTTGGGCATGAATTTTCTTAATGAAGTTTTTTAAATTTTTTTTGTGAAAACCAAATAAAAATACAGCAATAATTTGGGCTCACGAATTTCTACAGAAAAATCAAAACCTATTGACTTTTTTCAATTAAATATCTCTTAAAAAATGACATGATAAAGTTCCATAATCTTTAATAGATTTTTAACAGAAATTCTATAGGATTTCTTAAAGGAAGCGTTATGTTTGTACAGTAAATTTTTCCATCCCTGAATATTCATCTTTTGATTGAAAATTCAAATAACTTATTAAATTCTCCTCTTGAAGCTGCTAAAAAATATTCAAGTCCCTTAAATTATCATTTTCATCTGAAAAAATCCCTGAAAAATCCTTGTTTCCACCCCTCAAGCTCCAATAAACCCCATTCCATCAATTTACCTGGCGAGCTCCTCCACCATGAGGCTACTAGCCAAAAACTTGCTCCTCCAGACTTCACACTGTCCCGCCAGCCACTCCGTCTGCTCCTGATGAGTGCTCAAATGCTGTGCAGAATTCAGCAGAGCCCTCGCCAGCTGCAGTTTGTCCTCAGTCAGCAGATGCACACGAGTCTCCAGGTCCTCGCCAACAGCTGCCACCAGCAGATTCTTCAGCTCCCCATTCACCTGGGCCTGGAACTTCAGCTGATTCTCCAACTGCGTGTTCTCGTCCCTCAGATTCTTCAGCTCTTGCTCGTAGGACTTCTTCTCCAGCTCCCACTCCTTCAGCTCGATCTCCTCCTTGCTCTGTGGCTTCTCGAACTTCAACTCGTTCTTCTCCATTTCTATTGATTTGTGGATGGACACCTGGGCCACCATCTCGTTGATGTCCAGGTTGTTTCTCGTTCCCTTCTTCATCTTTTGGATCGGAATTATGGGGTTCACAGCTGCCTTATACGGCTCGTAGGGAATGAACTTGGGTTCTTTGCACTTCAACGTGTGCAAGAGCTTCTCTTTCTTGGAATGAGTGAGCTTTCGTGGCGTCAGGTTGACGATTGTCCCAGTGGGGGTGACTGGGGGCAGGCAGGAAGACTGGTTCAGGTTCGTTGGGTGGTAGATCAGGGTGTCACGGAGGCTCGTCTTCTTGGTCTCCAGCTTTGGGGGAGTGTTCTCCATACCGTCGCCCTGGGTGCGACCTGGAACTGCCATCGACAGCGCTGCACGAATGAATTCAATAGAAAAAATTAGCGAATTCGCTAGAAAATTTTATTGGAATTCTCTAGAAATTCTATTGAAATTCTAGACAATTTTCGTCAACATTCTATTTATTTTTTTGCGCTGATTCTACGAGATCTTTTTTTATTTTATTAGTTTAAATTATAGAACACATATCTGGGTTATTTACACTGTCGGTAACATGCATATATTTGGTTTTTACATTGCTTTACTACATATTTATTGGTCATATGCGGAGGTTACGCGAAGAATTTGTCGATACCCACACGGAAAAATATATATTCTGAAAATGATATATTTTATATATACTGTCTAGTGATTACCATTATCTAGATCAATTGTCAATTTTGAAATTTTTGAAATATCGAGCCATATCGAACAGTTTGTAATAATTCCAGTAGAATAAGAAGTACAAAAAAAACAAAGACAGAAAATGACAGACAGACAGGCTGAAAGACAGAAAAAAGAAGGAAAATAAAACAATAATTTCCAATAATAATAATAATAATAATAATAATAATATCCAATAATTTGCATAGAAAAAATCTCAAGAGAAAAATTTGAACAGCAAAATCGAAATCTATTGACTTTTTCTTATCAAATATCGAATAGAATCTGGGCAAAAAACAAATAGAATTTTAAGCAGAATTCCTTAGAATTTTAATAGAATTCCCATAGAATTTCTAAAGAATTTCAATAAAAATTTTCAGCGAATTCGCGAAGGTTTTCTATTAAATTTTTCCATACGTATGGAAACGAGGAAAAAAAACATTGTTTTTACAAGGAATATTTGATGTTGTGACAATTGTTATCGCAGTGATGGGGAAGGGGCGAGGAGAGGTGTGTTACCTGTTGATTGGCTGGTGATACTGGTGGCACTGGACTTTCGGGAGGCAGTGAAGGTGCCTGCCAGGGTGGCTGGTGGCTTTGGCTCTGGTCTACGGGGGTCCATTGTTGGGGTTCTATTTGGAAATGTCAATGGTTGGGGGTGAACGAGAATTTGTGGGGAAGGGTGACATGCACTCGATATGGAGCACGAATCAACACTGGGGATGACAACACGGTGGGACGTGGGTTAACCTTGTCTGAGTGGGGGCGCTCGCGTCGGAAGATAGCGCGATATTTTCGATTGTCTTGATTGTCGCATTTGTGGAAACTCGATGGAAAAACTAGCGATTCCCTCAGGAATTCTATGGAATTTCTGTAAGAATTCTGTTGGAGTTGTTTTGAAAATCTGTTGAATAATTCCGTTGGTTTTTTTTAAGATTATGCACCTTTTTGTTTTTCCTATAATAAAATATTTTATGATAGGAAGTTATAGGTATTTTATTATAATAGGTATTTTCATTGTTTTTCTTAGTAAAAAATTCTATGATAATTTAGATAATTCATAACCAAGAATAGTGGTAGCAAAATCGCCATCTACACACTTTTTCTGTAGGAAAATATCTATTGAAAAGTCTCACAGAATTTTTTAAGAGAATTGTAATGGACCCTCGACAAAATTCTTATAGAGTTCCGACGGAAATTTCGTAGAATTTCTTCGAGAAATCTTTTTTCTAATCTACTCCTGAACAAGAATTACGCGGCTCAGTTTTTCCCAGTTTTTCTGCTTTTTCGGAAGATCAGATTCCATCAATTTTTCCATGTCCACATTTTCTATTGATAAAAAAAGTGCAGAGAAGGTACAGAATTTTGAAATAAAATCAGTAGAAAACTAATAGAATTTCCAATAGAAATGTAATAGTAATTCAACGGAATTGAATTCTTTTTTTTTCGTGTCTATAGCGAAATTAAGATAGATTTTTTTTTTGTATAAAGCAGTGAATGACATAAGAACGATCTTCAGAAAAATTTCGTTATTTACTTCAATACAAAAATCCTATAGAATTTCAATAGAAAGATGAAATTCCACTGATTTTTCCTACAAAATAATTTCAATTGGACGTTAGAGTCGGCAAAAAACTAACACAATTTTTTATAGAAGATCAAAAATAAAATAGAAGTCGCTAGATTTTCCTACAAAATTTTGTCGTGTGGAAATTCATAACTATTAGACGAGTGGCATATTGAAACATGTTTAATCCAGAAAAGAAAAACCATCAGCTTATATTTCCGGAATAGCGTCAACTACTCATATTGATTTTCTTCTATTTCATATCTTGACACGGATGAAAAAGTTTAATAGAAAAACCTAGCGAATTCGCTAGACAATTCTATTGGATTTCCATGGAATTTTCCATTAATTTTTGGCCGATTCTATTGAAATGTTCAATAGAAAATATTCAGAAAAATTCGATTTTCTATAACAACTTATTCTATTGAGATATTTTCTATGCAATTTCCTTTCCTCAAATTTTCCAAGTTTTTTTGATTGATTTTCTTGATGAGAAGAAAAAAATATAATGAAAAAACTTGGAAAATTTGATTCGAGGAAATTCTGTATAAAATATTTGAAGAGAATAATTTGAATAGAAAAATGTAATTCCATTGATTCTTTTTATTAAATATTTTCTATTGAAAATATCAATAGAATCGGCCAAAAACCAATAGAAAGTTCAAAAGAAATCCAATAGAATTTTCTAACGAATTCGCTAGGTGTTTCTCCCAACAAAAAAAGGAAGAGGAACTCATCCTTTCAAACCAAAATAGAATACCACTGAAATTTTCGTTTTTCTCTCGAAGAGACTTTAAGTCTCGGAGATCGATGAATACTGATGTATGAATAATTAACGCTAATCGTAAGGCACATGCGTGAGTGCGGTTGGCGTGTACCGCGTAGGCGTTGAAAGATAGTGGGGCGCAATGATGCGCGGAGCGGCCACTCCGGAGCGCTCCCCTTTCACGAGGCGCCCATGAGCCGTAAGGAGTCAGTTCGGTTAAGCCGTTCTCTTATTATCTATCAACCTTGTATATACGTTATGAACAAACTGTGAGAGTTTCGCACTTAGTTTATGCTCTCCTGTACCAGGGGGTCCCCGAGAACTGGCCTGCCCCACGGTCGTTCGCCTACGTTGGTGCTCGTATACCTAATTATTTCACGGAAGATGAGGGCTTCACAGCGGAAATAAAGTATCACGCGGCAGAATGCTATGTGATCATGAAATATCATAATATAAAAAATCACGTTTTATGAATGTGAAACGTCTTTAAACACGAACTTCATTAGAAAATCCAGCGAATTCGATAGAAAATTCCATTGGATTTCTATTCAATTTCTATCGAAAATTTTATTAGTTTTTGGCAAATTCGATTTTTTTAGAAAATTTCCAATAAAGACTATTTTATAGAATAAATCTGTCGAATTTCATATTTTTATGCAACTTTTTCTTTTGAGACATCTACATAGGAATTCCTCGACATGAATTTTCCAAGTTGCTTTCACTCACTTCTCTGTTTATTTGAAAAATCAGATTAAAAAACTTGAAGAATTAGAGCCGAGGAATTTTTATAAAAAATATCTCAATGGAATAGACTGGACAGAAAACTTGAATTCTATTGATTTTTTCGATAGAATATTTCCATCGAATTTTTCTATTGAAAACAACACAGATAAATTCGGGAATTTTCAATAGAACTCCAAAAGAATTTTCTACCGAATTTTCCGAATTTTTCTATTAAATTATTTCGCATCTATCATTTAGATCAGAATTGTTTAATTGAATAATAAATTAATTGATTTATGAACACCTGGTTGAAGATTAATTTTAAAGGGTGTTATTTTTATTTAAACGAAGGAAAATATTTTCGGGGGAATAAACTAGAGATTGAGTGAATCATAATAGACGGAAATGGTTTTTCAAATATTCGTTTATTCATTTTATTTTTATTTCCACCTCTAAACTTGTAAAAACAACAAAAAAACACTTGTTAATTGACTCCACCCGAGAAAAAATGAATTTCCAAATACAATTGAACTATTTTCCGAGGAGAATTTTCCTGGTGGCGCCGAAACTCTGTCCAGCCTGCGTGGCGCCCTTGTTGGAGCCAGCCTGTAGACCAATGACACCCTCTCCCGCCCTGAGTTGACCCTCGGAGAAGTTCCTCCTGTTCTCGTCGGCGGGCTTGGGTCCCAGCCAGGGGCCACGCCACTCTGGATGTTTGTAGCACTGCGGAATAAAAATTTTCAACATTAAACATCCTCCGCATGAATTCTGCAGCAAAGCGGTAAAACGGGTCAAGACAATTTTTTTTAGCCAGTTTTCAATAAATATCTCGAAATATAAGAGAAATAACGAAATTTTCGTAATTACCTTTTTTGCAGAGCGAATTGAGGGCTACAAAAAAGGTTTTAGCAAAAATTTTGCTATCTTCCTTAGATTCCGAGATATCCATTGAAAACTGACCCATAGTCAATATCGACTTAAATAGTTTTACCGCTTCGCTACTTAATTCTCCTCATGGAAAACGAAAAAAGTGGAATAAGATATTTACAGCGCGTCCAATGGCGAATATGGTGTTGGTGACTTGTGCGAGGTTTTTTCTTTCCATCAGGTCCACAGCCTGGAAGAGATCAACGTCGGGCACTCCATACCTGGTGCATGCCCTCTGGAACCTTCAACGAACAAAAACACTTGAAAGTCCCTTTAAATTTACGTTACAACTGCAGTAAAATTACCAATTTTGGGAATTTGAAATCATCTTGAGATTAAATTATTTATTTATAATTATTTATTTATTCATTTTTATGCTAAATGAATGTTTTTTCATTTGAAATTGAATTAAATTGAGTATTTCATGGGCATCTCGAATTCTGGAAAATTAAACAGTTACTTCAATTTAATTTTCAAGAGATTGAGATGTCAGAAAAATAATTACAGGAATAATTGTCTATGAAAATATGATGTGAATTCGTCGTCATTAAAAATTTCACGATTTTTTGCTCGCAATTTCAGAAATTATTCCCCTACAGTGGAATAATTCCCTATAAATATTATCCTTAATTCCTATTTAACATGACCTAAATAAATATTCAAAACATTATTATAAATACTAGAAAGAGAAGAATCTTCCATTAAAAAAACAACAGAAATTCACAAACAATTCAATGTTACTCGCTTCTGACTTCTTCGTATAACAACCAAAATTAATTAAATTAATTAAATCAAAACAAAATTAATTTTTTGAAAATTCATTTGTTCATTTTTCGAAATTAATTATGGTTTTGATTGAACCAAAATTAATTTCATTGAGCATTTTAGAAATTATCTCATTCGTCGCTAACAACATCTATGAAAAGATGATGAGAATTCGTCGTCATTAAAAATTTTCCGATTTTTCGCGTCCAATTTCAGTCATAATTCCCCTACAGTAGAATAATTCCCCACACGGCGAGAAATGTTCAGTAAAAATTACGAAACACTTCGAAAAAATTCCGAGACAGTTCCGTAAAATTTCCTACATCCACATTTCGCTCCGGAATTACGGAAAAGATACATAATTTGTACTGAATATTTCTCTCCGTGCATAAATATTATCCTTAATTCCTATTTAACATGGCCTAAATAAATGTTCAAAACATTATTATAAACAATAGAAAAAAATGAATCTTCCAGAAAAAAAACAACAAAAATTCACAACCGATTCAATGTTCCCGCTTCTGACTTCTCCCTATGACAACAGATTAAACCAGAACGAATCCACGGGCATCATCCAGATAAAATTACCCTTAGGGTTGTTAATCCATTCACCCTCGCGAATACTCTCCCTCCGGAAAGTCAGCATTCGGGAAAGGCGGAGGTTGAAGAAAAGCTTGGCATCGTGGCCCTCGCAGCTCTTGATGCCCTCTGCTACCCTGTCCCATTTCTCAGCTTAGTGACGCGCTTCTATTGTCTGAGCGTTAATTGCCCAGTTACTAATTAACGCTCCTTCATAATCGACCAGAGCCCACCTCCTAAGTTCCCGATTGCCAGCTCTATGCAAATAGTAATGTCCTCGGACGCCCGGAATTCTGTCACAGAAATGACGCGTCGCGTATCCACATTTACCAGGGCATTATGTCGAGCCCCAGCAGCACTCACTCCATCAAAATCAACATGGTGGTTATCAGGATGGCCCTCCTCACCGCCCTGACCGCCTGATGGGCAGCGCGTCTGCCGCATATGAGCACCGAATCCCACCCACGGTACTTCAACTTGGTTTATCTGACAATGAGTGTTCCTCATGTTTACGGGCTTGTTCAGAGGGTAAATACGTGCTTTTCCGGATATATCCGCTTCTGGTTGGAGTCGAGACATGAGGCCATTGGGGAAGGACGGCACTTGCGAGATACTGGCGAACCAGAGAAACATGAGGGAAATGTCTTTTCAGTTGGTTAATTGACTGCTGAATTCGGAATGATGCGAGGGGCTACTCACATCCCACATCACGGCGCCACTCTGGCATGAAATCATTTCGAAATCACGTGAAATCACCGAAATCACTGAAATCAAGTGATTTCAGCTCTCTGGAATCATTTTCGAAATCATCCCTGAAATCACGTGAAATCGTCTGAAATCAATGAAATCAGTGACACACTGGCGTAGTACGAACCGGGCAAGTAATTTGTGATTTTGAAATTGACACACCTGCCAACGATGATAATAAAGTGGCGTACTCACTGTCATAAAAAAATTAAAATGATAAAATGGACCGCTTTTCATCGCCATTAGCTCACGATTGGCGGAGTAGAATCAAACGAATTCGTTATTATTTGCCAGTTAATTTTGCCAGTTTGGATTTTCATAATTTGACACAACCTATGAAATTTCATAAATGAGAAATTTGAATGAGAAAGAAAAGCTTCTCACAAATAAATGTAGGAAATCCTTCAGAATTAATTTCCCAAATTTTTTTCTTTGATTTTATCTCGATTATTTTCTATAAAAAAGTATCTATTGAAAAACACAGGACAAATTAGCGTAATTATCAATAGAATGCCACATTAAAAATTTAATATTGTGGAGAATTATTTTTATTTTATTTAATTATTATTAATTATTTTGAAGTTTGTGCCCTCTGCAGTCAAATTTAAATGTGAATAATAGATGATAAATGATAAATAATAAATAATATACAAAAAATCAACAGAATTTCTCAGCGAAACCTCTGAATTTTTCCATAAAATTCTCTAGAAAGTGTTCTCTCGCACGCACTCTCCACCCACTCAACATCTCAACTCTTCAGATCGCGACATCGTTTACTTGTTCGTCTCTCCTGCTCACCGTATCGAAAGGGAGTTATTCGGAGTGGCCGCGCTGCGCAGCGAGCACCCCCCTCCCCACCCATTGCCCTTGAAGTCAAAATTTTTTGCCGACGATTGGAGTATTACCGGGAGCCCGAGGGCATTAGAAGGGGGTTAGACGCGGCATTTAATTTGGAGGAGTCCAAGTTGATATTCATTTGGGACCACCTCCTCACATGCAAATATCGAATCAGGATGGTAGCAGAGTGCTAAAGCCTACGATTGAAGTCGCGAATCGTTGAAGAACGATTAACATCTCGCCGATTATTTAATTCTGATCACTTCTCGCAATAATCCCGGGGTTTTTCGCTGGCAGTTGGAGCTCCAACAGCGCCCGAGGGCGTCATCTGAATTCCAATTTGGTGGAAATATTCCCCTGAGAAATATTTTATTTCATTTTACTCGCGACCCGAGAAGTAGAGGAGTTCTCGTCGCAAGAAACTCTCTTCTTCCCATGAATAAACGATGGTCCCGACCTCGGACTCTGTCAGTGCTTCTCCATCAGGCTCTCATGACAACCGAAGAGCAACACAGTTTCACTTTCACTCGTCCAAGGTTTTCCGCTCGATGATCTCTCGATAGGCCGCCCGATATATCGATATCCCGCGGATAGCCCTTGAAATATCGTTCGATAACTCCCGTGAGAGTAGAGAATCCCACTTATCGAGAAGTATTTCGACGCAAAACACTGTCGATTGCGTAAAGTCGAATGGGTATCAGGAGGGCATGAGTACTGCAAAGCAATTCCTAGAGTTTCTCCCTCGCCCGGACGCCACGTACACTTTATACCCCTCGACGTATCAAATTCAATGGGTAATTAAGCGTTAAAAAACACTCACTGTTGCAAATTATCCATGAACTTGTAGTCACCACCGGAGACATTGATCTTGGTGATGCACCCCGGCTGCAATCTGTTCATCAACTTGCAGAGAATGACACCATCCCTCAGAGCGTCCTCGTAGCTGACACCTGAAGGAGAAATTTCAAGTTGTTTGAGTAACTTGAACCCAACTCACTTTGTGCTGTCTAATATTACTACACGGAGAGAAATATTCAAGAAAAATTACGGAACATTTCACGTAATCCGCAAGCGAGAATCGTTTTCAGTGAATTTCTATAGGAATATAAGAGAATAAATCTGAAACGTTCAGTAAATTTTCGGGTCTGTCACCGAAAAAATACGAAAAAGTCACGTAATTTTTCTGGAAGTTGTAAAATCTAACAGAAACTTCAAGACTTATTATGCCTCAGAATATGAAAATTCTTGGATGTTTAAGAATTTTTGCGAAAAGCTCCGGAAAAATTACGGAACGTGTTGTTAAAATCTCTCCCTCACGGTGACTCATGTCTAGCCGTGAGGCGTCGGACGGATGAGTAATTTTTACGGAACAGATCGTAGAATTTACGTGACGATTGACACTTTTTATTGAATTTTACTTCGCTCCCAGATTACGTTTCGAAACGTAATTTTTACGTCTTTTTTTCTGGTAATTTTTATTGAGTATTTCTCTCCGTGTAAAAATAATTACTCTAGAAGCGCAAAAATAATACAGTTTTACGAGAAAATCAACTGTTCAAGGTTAGAGATAAGATTAAAATTTAGAATAAATGACGAAAAATTAATCAAAATTCTATAACCAGTATGAAAATTATCGTGGGCGTCAAATTTTTGTAATAAATAATTCAATTTATAAGTTTATAGCGCCGAAGGCGGCGAGCCCTACACACCTCCAACGGGTCAAAAAACCCTTTCCCCACGAGTGTCGAGTCCTATTTTTCATCACAACACGGAGAGAAATATTCAATAAAAATTACGTATCTTTGCCGTACCTAATTCCGGAGCGAAACGTGGTTGTAGGAAATTTTACGGAACTGTCACGGAATTTTTCCAGAGCGTTCCGTAATTTTTATCTGAATCTCTTGTGAAAAATTACGATACCGTCACTTAAATTTTCTGAGTCGATTCCGTAATCGGTGAGTGAAGTGAAAGTTCCGTAACTTTCACTGAATATTTCTCTCCGTGAATCTATAAAATTTTACTTTACACCCAAGTCACGCAAAAATAATTGAACAAAGAATGTCTTACGCTCACCAAACCTACAATTCATGGAAAAAAATCAACAATGAATAATATTTTGAATCCCGTTCGAATCTATTTTTCCTCGTCCCCCTCACCGGCTCCACATCAATTTATTCATACTCCTTAAAAAAATAATCTCGAATACTTCACCGAAGAATGCCGATGAGTACGCACGCATCAGGGGCGCATAAGCCCAGAAATATAATATCTTTATTTTTGTTATTGGAAAGTATCCATTGGGGAGCGAATACCACCAGAATGTGGGGAAAAATCGAAACGCGCCGGCGTCAATCATCGAACTCCGCCTTTATCGACGCCCCTCAGCATTTTTTTCATCTCTCTCCATACTCGATTTTATTCCTCATCCCCCTCCTCCTTTATGATGGAGTTTTTTTTGTTCACTTCTGCTCTGTCACAGTGGAATAATAATCGAACTGTTGGGTGAATCGAACGACCTGCACCGGTTTATGCACTCCCATTATGCCAAGAGGGAGTCCAAGGGGGCATGGAATTTTTTAGACAGCGTCTGAGCGTGAGAAAACAATCGTCCATCGTCTTTTATAAATACCTAAAGTTGCTGAGAATTTTTTATTATTTAGTCTGTTTTTTCTCTCGATGCTTGAGTTGGCCGATGTGAGCTCTACACGCCGTGCGACGCCATTCGCAAGACGCGATGTGTCTCCAATGGACAGGAGCGCAGGGGACGGCTGGAGGTGCAGCTACATGAGCCAATTTTTTTTATTATTTTTTTTTGCGAACGGGGAGGACGCGCTGGCGAAATTCGGACCGTTACGGAACACCCGAGGAACAGGGGGTGAAAGGGGTGGGGACTGGGGCAATACGAGTGATGGCCGATGGATGAGAGATTCTGGGCAATCAGGGGGCCATGTGGGGGACCATGCTGTATTCAAATTTCAATGGAAATATACGCGCTGGCTATGAATATGAAAGTTTCAGGGATACTAAGGGAGCATACGAGGGGATGGATACACGGAGGTTGAATTTCAGTGGAGGCGCTTTCGTTTACGGGGTTTTTGGGAAGGGAACTTCATTGATCCGTTTTTTTAATGCTTTGGTCATTGTAAAATGGTGTTTTTGATTTTTTTGTGATTGGGGATGACTGTTTTCAGGAAGTTTGCAGTTTTGGTCGTTGTTTGGGGCAGGGGAGAGTGGGAAAATGTGCACACTTGAGTTTTCTGAAAGGTTAATAATTTATTAGACTGCTGAAGGATCGGGATATTTTGTTTCCTTGTGCAGTGGAATTCTGTCGTGAATTGGTAACCTAGGATGAGTGCATTTTTCTAGATTTTTTCGCCACATCGCTTCCGCAAATTGTTGGGAATCGATTAAACAAGAAAATGCATTTTCGAAAAAAATGCACTTTTTCTAGTTTACCAATTCACCATAGAATTCTTTTTTTTTGTGATGAGTGAAGACTGTTGCGGTTAATTGATGAATTTATTGCTGAGTAATGAATGTTAGGAAAAGCAAAAAATGTCCATCATTTTTTTGTGATTGGGGATGACTGTTTTAAGGAAGTTTGCAGTTTTGGTCGTTGTTTGGGGCAGGGGACAGTGGGAAATGTGCACACTTGAGTTTTCTGAAAGGTTAATAATTTATTGGACTGCTGAAGGATCGGGATATTTTGTTTCCTTGTGCAGTGGAATTCTGTCGTGAATTGGTAACCTAGGATGAGTGCATTTTTCTAGATTTTTTCGCCACATCGCTTCCGCAAATTGTTGGGAATCGATTAAACAAGAAAATGCATTTTCGAAAAAAATGCACTTTTTCTAGTTTACCAATTCACCATAGAATTCTTTTGTTTTGTGATGAGTGAAGACTGATGCGGTTAATTGATGAATTTATTGCTGAGTAATGAACGTTAGGAAAAGTAAAAAATGTCCATTTTCCCCCGCTGCCTAATTTTAGATGTGAAAGTGGATATTTGATCACAATTTTTATGATGTACGAAGCAATCAGCTAGAGAATTATTATGTGGATTTGATCACTCGTTCAAACAATTATTTAGATCCTCTAGTGCAGAACCAAATCAAGTTAATTTGATGTGAAGTTATTTTAATGCTAAATGCATTTTAGTATTTAATTTGAATGACTGAATTGACAAATGAAGTATTTAATTCGATTTGAAGAAAACACTGGAAGCATTTTTTTCCATTATTTGATAGCAATACAACGAAATCATCCCTCGAAATTTTCAAATTTCGTTTTGTATTTCCATGAATTCAACACAATCATTTTATTTAGTCTAATTCTCTCGCATTCGTGCGTGATATCCTCATTAATTTTCAAACATTGGGAAATTTTTTTTTGAGAACTTTGAGGATAATTCAAAATGAACAAATACTCAATCATCTTCTTTTTTAAAATCTCAACCACATGTTCATTTGATCATCTCACAGATCTCCATTTTTAGACATAAAAAAAATCTTCAATTTATCAATCAAAACGTTCATCCTATAGTACATTTTTCATTTTTTAGTAAATTATCTAAAAATAATAACTAACAAATTATAAACATAATACTGAAAAGTAAGAAAAAATAATAATTACTAAAAAAATTATGATGATTTACTAAAAAATGCAACGCTTCGCGTGTCTAAAACGTCCCTTTTCCACACATTGTGATGAAAAATATCGTTCGATACTCGTGGGTAAAGTGTAAGCCAAAAACTCTTTTCCGCACTCGTTACGAAATATACTATTGTTTTCTAGCAGAATATGATGTAAATTTTTTTTAAGCAGAATAAACCAACAGGTTTAAATGCTTTGATAAAAACAAAAAAAACGTTGATCCTAAATCCTTGACTGCAATACTTATGATGCAATGATGTAATGAAAATTCAAAAAATTTCGGAATCATCAAATCAAGCCTTCAGTTCAATCCGAACCAAAAGCTGGAAGAACCACCTCAATCATTTGACTCAAATGCAACAAAATCCTCCCCCGAAATCATCACTCAACAAAAACCACCTGATACCCCTCGTGATCCCCATCAGTCCAGAATTTTGAGGTACAACATAGACCAGGAGGATACGTCCGTTGGCAAAAGCGTCCGCAGCTCGCCCTCAACTCTGCTTGCCTAATACAAAACTGGTCGTTGTTCGGCGTTCCCGATTGACGAACCATCGACAGTCGATCGACTCCACCCACTCGTTCCCCTTCCCCCTGCCCCTATCCATTCAATCATCACCGTCTCACGTTCAACACAGCATTCTCCCCACTTCTGCCGCCGAAGAAATCATAATGAGGCATTAAAACCACTTGTCCAGTTCATCGGCGGCATCAGGAAATCATTACCCCTCAGGAAGTTGATTTCCGGGTTAGAGACGTCGGGTATCAGGAATTTATTCGACGATAATGCGATTTATTTTCGGCTGGAGACTTTATCCTTGGGGAGTCTCCCGGTTGCTCTTGAATACCAGAGTTTCAGGAGGGCTGAGGAGGTTGTCCCCTCAAATTCGAGTTGAAAAAAAACGGAAGAAATATCATTCCACTTGTTCATTCAGAACTTTTATTTGAAATCAGGAAAAAAAAATGTTTTCCCTGAGAAATACCGGGGAGTTGCGGGTGAAAGGAATTCACTGTCTTCTCGGATTTCTCTTTTTCATCATTGTTCAGTCGGAATGATGTGGACCGGCAGAACAAAACGTGGAAGGAATATTATTCCACTTGTACATTCAGAATTTTTATTTGAAATCCAGGAAAAAAAAATTTTCACTGAAAAATACCGGAGAGTTGAAGGTGAAAGAAATTCACTGTCTTCTCGGATTTATTTCTCTTTTTCGCCATTGTTCAGTCGGAATGATGTGGACCAGCAGAAAAAAAACGTGGAAGGAATATTATTCCACTTGTCTATTCATAACTTTTA